CAGCAGCGGCAATCCACCTGTCACTCAAGTGGCCACGCCCTTAATTATGCAGAAATGTAAGGCTTAATATAATTTAAACGGATGAGTTATAAAAAATTCACCCCCCTCACAGTTGTCATGAAGGGCAAAATTAGCTATATAGGCCAAAATCAGTTTTTGAACCAGGCTGTAAACATGTTTTTTTTCTGCTGTAAAGTTGGGCATTTTAACATGGGGAGTCTATGGGATTGACTTCCTTTTGCAGCCAGCCTCTAGAGGCCAGTTGACGAATTACGGTTTAAGTCACTTCCTTGTTGGCTTCCCGAGAGAGAGCGGGAGGTTGCCGCTTGTTAAATACATGTGAAATATTTTAAATTGTTTGTTTATTCATTTATGTTTATTTAATTGTATTTATTTATATAATAATCTTTTTATTTAATTGTATTTGTCTATTTATAAAAATTTTACATGTTAAGTAATTTGTTTTCTTATCTTTGTATTTATTTATTTGTAACTTTTAATTTATTTATCTGTTTATTCATTATTTTATCTATTTATTAATTACAATTTTAAAGATATTGCCTACTTAAATACATTCAAAATTTAGCTTCAAAATATGTATATTTTTTACATGTAAAATTATTTATGTTTATCTGCTTATTTATTATTATTATATTATTTATTATTTTATCTATTTATTTAATCTTTTTATTTACATATTTTCTCTATTTATTTAACTATTTATTAATTTTTTTTTTTTTAAATGTTGCCTCTTTAAATAGCTTTAATGAATTTAGCTTTTTGTTAGTAACTTCAAGTGCTTAACTGCTTTAAATTGTGGAGCTTGTAGCTTGAGTTTGAGCTAATCTTCAGCTTCCAGGTAGCTTTGTTGACATTGTGTGCTACTTTGTTTGTGTACGGCATGCATGTTGATGGAGCTTTTTATCTTATGGAGTGGAAATGTTAGCATTTTCGCATGAATATCTTGACATTCCCATAACTGTCTCTGCCTTTTATCGCTTAGCAGACACGCTAGACTGATTGTACCGCTATGTCTCCCTATCACTGTGTCTCTCTTTAACAGGTGCTGAAGGGCAGCAAAAAGCTCTCCATGTCAGTGCGTTCTGTGGGACGGATCCCAGGCGGTTATGTCACAAATCATGTCTACACCTGGGTGGATCCGCAGGGGCGCAGTGTGTCCCCACCCCCTGACCTGCTGGAGGAGCATCGCAGCGCAACCCTGCGCAGATCCAACAGTCAGGGCCGCAGTCACATGCAGCTTTTGCAGGACGGTGATGAGAAGAAGGTGAAAGTTTACATCTAAATGTATACTTGAATTAAATTATAGCAGCTAGTTTAATGTGTTTACTGTACATGATGCGTATGTAATAAGGATATGACCAAATTCCATTTAAATACTTGAAAGAAGTCTCTTATGCTCACCAAGGCTGCATGTATTTGATTACAAATAGAGTAAAAACAGTAATATTACGGCCCTATGATTTCCACAATCCGGAAATGCGAAATCCAGTCATAAAAAATAAAATTTTTCTGTATAACACAGAATGTCACGGAATTTGCCAAATTTTAGATTAATAAATCAAAAGTAGGTCAGTACACTTAAATCAAATCGTGGTATGGACTAGTATCTGTGAATATTAAGCGGCAAAGTACAATTTAAATAGGAATCCCTCATGTTCTGCGTGTCTCTGTATGAATGAATGACGCAGACGCGCGGTTTTGTTTACTACACACATACTGAAGCGTGCATGACACTCGCGGTGATTTCAGCCTCTGCTGCCTCAATATATGAGTACATGAACACATGAACATAATCTCCAGAGTTGCCCTGAATGTCACTTCATGAGCATTTTCCTATTTCTTTTGAAAACTATCGTCGTATCATATAAACAGAGTAATTTAAAGGTCTTCACAACAAACCATAAAAATAAAAGTTTGGTTTAACTTGAAGAAACTGTGACAGAAATAAGATATATTACTTAATGCAATGATAGTACTACTACTACTAATAAAATAATTATTAAAATATTATTTTTAAGAAATATTTACCTGAAAAATTATTTATACTGTATATATATATATATAAAATCAATTAATTGGAGATGCTTTTGATTATTAAAATTTAATGGAACCATTCAAATGGAATCCATCATGATGCAGTGCCTAAAACAAGGTGCTGTCCTATATATATATATATATATATATATATATATATAAAATCAATTATTTAGAGATGCTTTTGGTTATTAAAATCGAATAAAACTATTAAAATGGAATCCAGAAAATTAATGGAAAACAGATTTTGGTAAAAATAAATTTGAGAAAAAAAGTTTTTCATAGGGCCTTAAAAATTTTATTTTTGTTAAACCTTTTATTAATTAGACATGCTTTTTGATTAATAACATTTAATTTAACACTTTAAAAAGAGTCATTAAAAAAAAAAAACGAATCCAAAAAATAAATAAATAAATATGGAAAAAAATGGAATTTGGAAAAAAATAAAGCAGAATTTGGGAAAAAATAAAACATTTCATAGGGCTATATAATATTGTGAAATGCATATCAATTTGACAACTATTGATGGCAAAGCAAAATTTTTAGCATTTTTACTCCAGTCTTCAGTGTCTAATATGTTTATTTGCTGCTCAAGAAACGTTTTTCATTATTACTTCCTAATTTGTGTGTGTGTGTGTGTGTGTGTGTGTGTGTATGAACAAAATTTATTTGAAATAGACATCTTTTGTAACAATGTGAAAGTCTTTCGATTTTTATCAATTTAATGCATCCTCGCTGAATAAAAGTATTTATTTCTTTAAAAAAACATTACTGGCCCCAAACTTGTCAATAGTAGTGTATTTGTCTATGAAAATATAACAGACGTTTACTTTACTTTTACTTTTGATTGTTTTAATATATCCTTGATGAATAAAAGCATTTATTTCTTTAAAAAAAACAAAAAATCGTACAGACCCCAAACTTTTGAATAGTAGTGTATTTGTCCATTACAGTTTTTTTTTTTATTGGTTTGGTACTATTTTCACAAGTAAGGTGTACATTTTCAAAACTCTTAGTACAAAACTTTAAACTGATCACATTTGTTACACCACTAGTCATTCTTTCAAAACCTGTTCTCATGATTTCATTGTAGTTGCACATATTTTCATGCCACATAATCATTGTTTCAAAACACAAGATCATTGTGATATGTATTGAGAACATTTGAATTAATCACCAAAACACAACAGTATGATCTTCTTTCAATTTAGTACTTTTAACAATCAGTTAATTCACAAGCAAACAATACTTACATTATGCATATCTCACATAAAATCAATAATCTTTGTAAAAGTATTTATCCAGTGTGTTATCAAATATCAAAATGAAGGTATGACATGGCCATAAGGTTTTGTGCTAGAACAGAGTTTACTGTCAATGCAGTATGACATATGACTGAATCTATACTGTAACTGCACTTTTCAGATGAAAGGTGAGTAATAGTAATGTGCAGTCTTTATCAGGGTAATGCCTCTATATACAATATCGCATGGCATAATGTAATGTAATTTGTATTCTATCTGAATGAAGGGTGAGTTATAGTAATGTGCACTCTTTACCATATGAATGCTTCTATATACAGTATATACAGTATCAATGTAATGTAAAAGGCTGTATTTGATGCCATCTGTCTCCCTTCTTCTGACACAGCTCTGATCAATCTCTGATCAGTTCCTCTCCCGTGTGTCCTGCTGTGTGTTCACAGATAGATTACGGAAATTTATTTTCCTCATTGGACCCAAAAAAGGACAATAATTTCAGATATTTACCTGAACCCCCCCACCACCACACACACACAATAGTGGTTATCATCTTAGATAAATTGCTTTTAGTGTAAAAATATTTCAGTGCATTTGGTTATCCATAAATTGCAATCACATTCTATAGAAACTAAATATCTATTGAATATATCTATAGATGCACCAAATGATTCACTGATTAACCTTAAGATGAGTTAGATTAAATAATAGACATGTATTAAAATGAATGAGAAGACATGCTAATGAAAAGTTTGATAGTACTAGCTTT